ATACCCGAAAATATATCGGTTGTCTGATACATTTACCCCATTTTTCACATACGTGGGTAGTCCTCCTCCCTGACGCCCTTCCCTATCCCTTTTCAAAATCTGGTAGCCAGGCAGTGAACCCTCGGTCGTCCACGTGTTGGGTCAACCAGGTTTCTGTTGAAGAGATTACGTCAGGGGACACATCACGGAGGTGAATCTTCAGCTCGTCTAACTTTGATAGCAAACTCTGCGCGGTGTACAAGACTTTCAATTCCCGGCTGACGGATGGCTGATTGCATTTTGGTTAGCGCCTTCACTTAGTATGTCGGCCGTGCGGTCATTCGGATCAGACCTGTCCAAAGGAAGAGTGATGGACGCCACAGCATTTGGTTGTTGCATATAACTAAATTGTCCTCCCCCTCGCTGAGCCTGAGGTTTCATTTCAATAGCCATTATAACCCGCGTGTGCTACGCATCCATGCAGTCAGTCTCCTACAGCAGTGTATTCTGTACAATGATCCACGTCAAAAGTGGACGGCAAGTGGCTTTTGAACAGAACTGTCTGAGAGCAGTCGAAAAGCGATGTAAACAGATTTTGTCTACGACATGATAGCCTGTACACGGTACGATCATATTATGACGATAGCCCATGCCATTCAAAAAGACGTTTAAAGTGAGCTAGAGACGTCCGTTACTGCTCGCCCCAAGACTTGCGTTGTCGAATTATTGAGGGCGACAGGAACCAGCGCAAAATATGACCCGACATTGTCTATCCTGATAATGAGGTGGTTCTTGGATCTCTGATATTCGGTCTATGTCTCCCGGTCAAGATAGTTGGGTGGTGGTATCAAATTTGCCGCGCAAAGGCGTTCTATATAATAATGGTTAGTCCAAATTGCTAAGGCTGGGTTATAGTCATGCAAAATGGAATAAATGCGGTGTAGGCGTGTGTCTGTCCAGGAACCAGACACTTCCTACACGCGGGCAGCCGCCCTCTCCCTCCCCTTCAGCCAAAGAATCGCTTAGTAGGGCGTGAGCCAGAGTTAACTCCTGTTGCCTCGGAACACTTTTACAACCGAACTTCTAAACTTTTCACACTAATACTTCCTGTCGTTACTAAGATATGTCCCAGTAGCGTCTCTGCCGAGGCGTTCACACTCATCGCAAGGACACTTGCACTCGCCATCACCTCTTGAACTGGGTCGTGAGGAGATCGACGATTGACGCAAACGGTAGTCTGGCAGCAAGTAGCCCTATGCACGGACCCGATATACGGGTATGATGCTAGGCAGTCATCGATTTTCGGGAGCAGCGATACACAAGCATACGTGCAAGGTCCCGTATTACAAAACAGATAAAAGGCCAAACTTTGGCTAGAGCCTGAAATTTACAGTTATTTTGGGGGTATAAAAATATCTTTATCAGTTACAAAAGGGTTTGATACGGTTCTTGATCAAATAACGACAGAAGAGACCCGAGGAGTGGCAACAAAACTGGTTGGCTTTCACTCAGCTCAGTTTGCCCCGCTTACGGCGGAAGTCGAAAGACAGGCTACCGTCGTCGGAGTCCTCCGAGTCTGGCATGAGGCTAGATTGTGTGGCGCCGCCCCGCCTGCGTGGCGCTTGCCTCCGAGTACTGGCAGCACCACGAGCTCCGCGTGGTCGGCGAACGCGCCCGCCACTTGTGGCAGAGGCCGCACGGCTAACGTGTGCAGGTACATCAGCCAGAATGGAGTCCAACTGCTTTGACTGCCAATCACGACCGCGTCTTGAGCCCCGAGTCGAAGCACCGCGTGCTCTAGTGTGTCCTGAGAGCGAACTGGCATCAGAAGCTATACTCCCGTCCTCTGTGCTATCGTATTCGACATCCTTGATCTGGTTGATCAGGTTCTGATCAGAGTGACCTTCCCGGCCCTCCCCCTCCTTGTCGCTGCTGTCGCCATCGAAAATATGAGGAGACAGGCCAGTAGGTGTCATCTGTCGGCGCACCAGGACAGTGCTCCTTGTATCCCATTCCTTTTCCTGGAAAAAAAGAAAGGACTTACAATTTGAAATCCCTGCTACTGATAAAATGACGGAATGCGGATTGAAAATACGAAGATAAATCTTAATAGGCTTTAGTGTCAGTATCGATGCTTGGACGCATGGAGTCGTCTATGCGGCAAAACAGAGGAATAGTCGCCGCAGATGGGCGTGGGCGGAGAGACAGAACCGTTTAAGCGTGCCACACATGGTCTGATCTCCAAGGAGATACACAGCAGGTTTTAAAAAGGACGTGAGTCTCGGATATCATGCATGTAAACGTGCCACGATGGTCAAAGTAGGAAGACGACAATGAGTCCAGCCCATTAGCAGAACCCGGTTAACCCATAAGTTGGCAACCTCCCAAACCACCACGAGGGTTCCGAAGCCTCAAATTTATTGTGGGGGAGGCATAGAATTGTCATGAGAAAAATCACTTTCCCATCTGCCGAACTCTTTTCTCTTCCATGAATAAGTGGCTCATTGGCCGACTGGGCGCAGTGATTGATTTGGCGTGCTTTCAACTAACATTTCGACCGTCGTGACCGACGAGACCCACCGTGGGCTACATGACAGGGTTAGAGCAGGAACGGCGGTTTGCGTGTGATTCCTTTTATAGTTATAGTGAACTTGCGCTGCATCTACCGCACCCTAACCTTCTCCCCAAACTGGATCCGGCGTCAAGACAGATTGAAGAAGACTGGATGCGGGAGAAGACTCAGGTGGCTGGCACAGCGAAAACCCGCACCTGGACGTATCACCACACCCGCTGGTGCACAGCGTACACTGACCGGGATTTTACATCAAGAAAAAAAGGGGGAGTGCCATAGGGGCCATGTTAAGGAGTCATTGCAGCCTGACTCTCAGGTACCAGTCGGCCACTCCACACACTCGACACACACTGAGCTGATTGTGCGGTCCGACTTATCCTATCAGTTGGTGGCTTTCCAAGGCACGGTTTTTACCGGATCGTGATAGATTCATGCGCGTCAGATTGCTTATATTGAGAAATATGCGCTGAGGCCGCCGACCGCATTCACTCTCTCCACTCCCATACGTCAGTCCACTGTCTGAGACGGCCAACCAACTGATGCGGAGATTGAGAGGTGGCTGACAGAGCTGTGAACAGCTCCCTATGCGTGCCACGCACACGCGACCTCCACACGCACACACGCAAGAGGGTAGAGCACTCGGATCTCACATTCAGCAGAGGAGCCGCATGCAGAAAGGGGTCGAAGAGCACATTTACCACTTGCATGAGAGGTGCCGGTGATGTGGGATTTTGGAGGTGCTTATGTGGTACATGTATTGATGAGAGAATGTTTGGTGAGGTGGCCACGTCTGCGGTGATTTACCACAGGTGAGCGAACAGGCGCATGCGCTAGCTGAATGTGCGAGGTAATGTGGGCAATTGGGGCGATGGTGTCTGGTATATGCTGGTGCTCCAGGCGCTGGTTTGCCAGTCTCTGTGGGATAGATTCGCAAGTGGCCCATCTAGCCGATGAGTGAGGTGAAAGTGCGGTGACGGTATGGGCAGGATAGGTTGGGTAATGTTGAGTCGGTTGCCACTGTGGTGCTGCTAGTGGTGGGCGCGCTGGCCGACGAGGAATTTGTAGGACTGGGACACTTACTTTTCCCGCTATAAAAACCAAGCGCGCTTCCGAACTGGCACGATGTAAAACAAGTCGACCGCATCCCAGAAAGAAGCCCAGGCTAAAATGGCTCTTCAACATGACCTTCATAACATTATCGCTTATGCGAGACTCGCGGCTCCTTTACTGGAGCGTTTGACGTGGAATTGAGAACCAGAATAGGTGTGGCCCCAGCCTCACAAGGCAACCGCACCTACGCTAATCCCTAGTCTTCTTGCCAATGGGATATGGTGGGTGGAAGGGAGTATGAAGGAAGTATACTGTAGGTCAGTATCAGTTTAAACAGACCCGCACGAAAATCGTCACTATACCGTCTTCAAGACAGCGGTGTTCCTAGCCGATAAAGATGAAATAAAACAGGAGCGAGTTCAATACTGAATCGAAAGAATGCAATTACGGTATCAATCTACATAGACGTTATGACACTGAGATGAAACGTCACGAACCATTAAAAAAATCGTTGGGGAGGTGAGAACTGTTTGCTTTCTATGAAGCTGGCGTTAAAGCGGAAACCGTCGGTGTATAGGATATGAGTTATAAAATGGTCCCGGCTTTAACAAAATAATGGCCTGATTCCGGCGATATGAATTACCAAATCAACGACCGCACTGTTTGAGGAAGATGCCTTGTCGGGAGCAGAGCTGGCCGTCACTGATGGGGCGTCTGCGGATGCCTCTACAACGCAGAAACAAAGGAACATAAAAAGAAAAGCAAATAGCAAAATGCTTGAAGGACAAACGCTGCGTTTTGCAGAGTCGGAATAGAAACCCAGGTCTGCATTTTATTATGAATTTGATCAGACAAAGTGATTACCAAAGGAGAATGCGTGGTTAGCTCTACGTTAATAAGCACGCGATGCATGCAAGCAACGGATGGAGAACTGATTCAGCGCATAGACTACTGTGCTCGATTAAATGAGGCCTTGAGTGACTACCACTACCCTTAACAAGTGGTTGATGCTATCTTTGTTACGTCGAAAAGCGAACATTTTTTAAAAAGTATTCATAAATTTTAGGCATATATTTAGACCGATTACGCCGAGGAATCGTAAAAACCGCTGACTATTAAGGTCCGAAATATGTTGGCCAGACTGTGGCATTAAAACAACGCCCACCAATTTCTAACAGGTCGTGGATAAGGTGGTCAGAGACATGATAGGAGTTGTGGATAAGGTCCGTTAGAAATTCGCCAACCTCGGCCTCAAAATCAACATGGATAAGAATGAATGTAAAAAAGGATTCTCTATGTGAAATGTGCGGTGAACGGAGATGAATGATCTCCGGACATCTGGAATGCCGACGTGGCTTGGAAATTCTGACTGCAGCGGGACAACAAATTAACAGGCGTCTAGCCAGCTACTATTGATGGCAGAAGGAAAAGGGGATCGCTGGAAGAACTCTACTGTCTGATTAACGTCCCAGACAGTTAGGCTTCTTGTCCATTGGCAAAACCTGTTGCGAAAAAATATCGAACCGGGCTTTGTGCCACTTTCTGAGTTGATGCTCCCTGTGCTTACCTATTTTATGCCATTCGTGCCTTCCATTGTTGGATTTAATGGCTTGAATACCCCTCTCAACCAATTCCTACCCAAGGACGCAACGTTGGTTTATAGCCCGGACGTCAAGGGACAGTGGAAAACAGGAACGAGACCGTTGCTCAGGTCAAATCCTCTGAGCATGGATTTGGCCCAGCCTTACCATAGAAAAAGGGCAAAGGCAGAATCTGCCTGAGGGTGTCCCGTCGTTTATAAGGAACGCCTACTAACTCGACCAGGAAATGGGTTAATCAGCTGTAATCTCTTTGTTTAACGACCAAGACAGGTCGGTTACGTGTTGGGCGAACGTTAAAGCTATCCTTCCGGCAGGTTGTCTACACCGAACCTGGCTGTAACCGGCAACGGATGCTCGATTGGTCACTTGAAGACAGAGGTGGGCGAACCTCCAGTGCGCCTCCCCTTCAACAGGCTGTGTGACTGGCGCGCCGAGTAGCTAAACGCCTGCGGTAGATCGACAGAAACCAAAGGCAGTAATCCGAAAGTGGGTAACTTAGGCACACCTGGCCAATTTACGCATAAGAAGTGCCATCACATGTGAAAGCGCTGCCAAAGTCGGGAAAACAGATCTAAGATATATGCTTTCCTCTCCACGACAAATGGTAGACGTCGTCATTTACATTCTGAATTGCTCCGTTTTAGGCAACCCAATTGCATTCCTAATGAACTAAGAATTTTGTTTAATTTGGATATGTCGAGACGCACATATTTCTTAGATCCACAAACAAGGTGGTCGGACAAAAATTGGCTCTGGCTGGTAGTAATACGGTCTCGCTGCTGTTCAGTATTTGCATGAATGGATACAAAATGAGAGTAAGGGCAGTCAAGTGTGTTCATGAGCACATGCTCGGAACGTACGCACGGATCACAACAGAGAAGATGTACTCGCACCTCCATTAATAGAAGCCTCGCGCTTTCGAGTAAGCATATAGTGGGAGATCTCAGATGCGACTCGATCCTCAGTACACTGATGTACGCACAAATGGCCCTGGGTATTAGCGACCACGGCATCTACCATGGACTTGATTCCGCCACCGTCAGTCTGGTCGACAAAGTGGCGTAAACCCCTGCTCAGTTCAGCATCCGTGAACATGCGCAAATTCGCGTTCTTGTTGGAGGCCAGGATGCGACAAACAAGGGTCTCCACATCGTCCACCGACAGTCCGACGCCTCTGGCTTCTGCTTCTGCTGCTGATCCCACAGCACATTCGCTCTCCTTTGCTGGACCAGAGCGGTTGGCTGCGCGTTCGCGATTTCGGTTGAATTTGATGAGATCCTAGCTTTACACCAAAAACAATGCAAGCTATCCATTTACTGGGGCGAATCAAAATGCGAACGAATGATGAAAAAGCAAATGGGCAACTGCCTTATTTGAAAACCACTATTGAATGGGTAGGGTAATAAGTACTCCCCGTATTACAGCTGTCCTTACACTAAACTTCAGGAGGAGGCAGAACATGGGAATAGGTATACCTCTGTAATTTAGCGAAAGAACACCAGAAGGGGGTACTTATGCCCGTGCCCAACCCTATTATCAACAACACCGAGAGCCTGGGAAGGGGCCCATGGACACAAGGATTTCACTCTGGAACTGAGCCTGTTGTTACGCAACACCAAGGAGCATGTTAAACAAACTAACTAGTAAAATAAGCTACAGAGGAAAGTCTAAGATGAAAATGCAAAATGTGCAGGCTATAAGGCTACTGTTATAAAACTACCACCATCGGTTGACTGGACAAATATGTTGCTAATAGGCGGATTCGGGTAGAAATAGAATAGGAGTCTTCAGGGTACAACGGTCTAGTACACATGTCTTGAAGTTAAAAATATCTGCTTCCGAACATTTATGCTTTTCCAATGGGATCAGGTTACTGCTACTCTAAAGTTGTGCCCTGGCAGGCGAGTAAAGTCGGCAATGTGGAGATCATAAAGCTTAAACAGGAACTCAAAAACACCAAAAAAACTCATCGGGTGAGAGGCAAACAAGTATGACAAACAGTCAATCAAGAGGTCCTCAAAAAGTAATGACAAGCTTTTATCGAGGGCTCCATCCAGCCAAATGAACTTTTCAGATCTATAACGAGTTCAAGTCACTGCGCTTGCCCATAGATCAGAAGATACACTTTTCCAATAAACGGTGACCTCCAGCGTATTTAAGACGACCCCGACTCGTAAAGCATGCGGTTTGGCAATACTTGCCATCCGCCAGAACGACTGCGAACTAAACGCCGTGAACATTTCTTACGAAAAACAGATAAGTGCAGTGTCGGAAAGACGTGCGGGAGAAGTTACCCTGGATGTGGCACAACCGTATTTCACATAAAACGTGCGACCGACCTCACCAGCACAACTTTGCTCGAACTGTGTGCAGACACCTTAATGGCCTGTTTCACGGATAGCGACTGACGCCCACTTTTTCACAACTTTCCATATTGACCAGCAACTAGTCTTGCTGGAGCCCTCCAAATTACCATCTTTCGTCTATTTCGGATAAATAATTTTTATTCCAGTTGTATAGGCTGGTGTTTTCGATAAGGCTCTCCCTAACGGCGTCGTTGGTCCCCTGGGTTTCATCATTTGCATTATCAACCTCCTATGTGGCAAAACCACAGTGGGGAACTCGTCCGCATGCAACTACGGACACCTGAATAAACGCATAGCTGAACGTCCTAAGTAAAAGTTAGGCCGGCTTAATCTGGTAAAAAAGGTTCCCTCCCGCTCTCCGACTCGTAAACTGGTGACACTGATAGTGGTAACTTCCTTAGCAGACGCCCCTGCTTTGCAGTGGATCGGGTGTGTAGGCCAGGTGATAAGTGTCCAGCCAACGTTCCGTCATGAAGATTGTCTGATATCAGTAATTTTCGGCTTCGGAAGGCACCACAGGCGTTTTTTCATGTGGCTGGACTGGGAGACAGCGTCAAATACGCGCCCCAATGATCAACTCGAAACATAGAAAAGGTTAGATTTGGCTCTGCGGTTATGCTTTGGACACGATTCATAAGGGGACTGTGTGATCAAGATAAATGAGCCTTGGTTGAGGTCATAAATCGCATGTTTTAGAGTATCGGCCGTGAAAATGTCGAATTAGTGGTTTAGCTGGTGATTTCAGAAAGTTGAGGGCCTGCGCAGCGAAGATCCTGGGGCACCTGTGACCGGATGGGGCAGAGGTGACGCGCGCAAACAGTCCGCAGCATTTGCCTCACTCCCCTGTCCTACATCCGCCACGCTCTAATGACAAGTCTGGAGCATGGGATTGATGAAGCTAATTTAGCGTCTGCGTATGGAGTACGCATGGGTTTGCCTATGTGCACGTCAGTCAAACTTCAAGAAGGGCGTTTCAATCTCTCACTGCAATTGTCATAGAAGTTACATTAAGCATCCACTGTAGTCTGGACCTCAGCCAACAGGACCGTGTTATTACATCCGAACCACCACTTTTAGCCCTTTTTGGTAGTTTAAAAGCGCGACAGAGTTGTTATGGCGGAGGAATGGATCTCTGGATTGGTGTAGGGAACGTCGCATTGGAGTCAGTCTGCAACGTTATAGAGGTCGGCTGGATCAGGCATGATCAGAGCCATACCAATTCCGGATCAGTCCCACTTCCTCTTTCCTCGCATATTATACATCAGTAGAAAACCCCACTGAAGCCGACAGGCAATGAAATCGACTGTAGCTGTTAGTGTACGCCGTACGCCCGTTTGGCATCCGGTAAGGGCCTAAGAAAAAGATTCATCCTAATTTGGCGGCCCATGTCCCCCAGACGCTGGATCTCGTCTCCAATTCCACCAAACTAGTCAACAACTCCATATTTGGAGTCGATCTTAAAACTGGGTGGAGGGGCGTTTACGACCAAATGCATATAATTGATGCACACTTTTTAACTGTTTCACTTTCCCTTCGAACCCTTCAAATTTCCGGCCTTCGCTATAGATTGATTGTCGCTAAGAGAATTCTTCATACGACATTTAAATAGGTAAGTCAGATTATTTTAAAGGTCGTTCTGTGCAAGTGTGCAGCTCACGCAGACCGCTAAATCTGTGCTGTTCTATTGAGAGGTCGCATAATCAATTAAGCCGGAGTAAAAATGGCATGCAATCATGCGGTAACTGCCTCTGGTCTTACGATAACCAATTCTTCTTCGTATAACACATGCTGTTAGGGACAGCTGACCTGTCAATGCAAGCTTTTGGACGGCCGGTGTTAGATTTCCGGAAAAGAGTATGGAATGGGTGTGCACATGAAGAACTCGATTCGACGCCGTCCACGCCGTTGGTGCTCGAGTAAGGTCTCTTGAAGGGGTGTCGCGCCTCTGTTGTGATAAACCAAAACGGAGATCGCATTGATACATGGCGTATAGCCTTGGTCGGGTTGTGCTGAGTCGACGTGAGTCCTTGGCCACCGGCGTACATGCGTGCACCCAACAGCTACCAATCGCATGATTTGCCCATGAGATGGGAGAGAGAAGGAGGCCGATTACTAGGTGTCCTTCCTCACGGCTGCTCAGAACGACCCACAGTATAATAAACCTGACCCGCTTGAAAGTAGCACAATGAGCTGGCTCAGGCCTTCCCTGAAACGAAGGTCCGACTGCAGCGGTTTCTTCTTAACACGGTCATTATGGCACCCTTCAATCCTGTAAGGTTAAGATAAGTGTGAGGCATAAGTTAGACAGCGGCTTCACACAACATCAGCCATTTTTCAGTCAGCCTGGATCCGACAGACCGGTGGCACACAAGAGTAAGGGAAGAACGAAGTCGACCCAGAGTTTAGTTTTCTCACTCTGACGAACCAAATGTGCCTTGAAACCATTGCAAATGGTTAGCAGTCATGGTTCGGAAGATTACCTACTGACAAAATAACTGGTTGCTACTCAGGGCTGGCGGCCAATGCAACCTTTATGGCCCTCTCACATGCACTCACTCCTAAATGAGGCTCGAGACCCTCTCGTTGAAGACTGGTTGCTATGGCGTTCTGGAACAACACGTGCCTGGAACGCGTAAGTGTGACTTTAATCTAATCAGCCACCGCATGCAGGTTTATCTCCGGTCATCAAGAAGTTGTCTGGCCCAGTGGAGTACGACAAGACGGTCAGACTATTGTGTGAGTAGCAAATAAGAGGCAAGACACAGGTGGTGGTGAGGCGTTTCACACACAAACGATCGGTTAATGCGACAAGAGCCTCTTAGGGGGTCAAAATATCGTCAGAAGTCAATGAACCAATATGGGGTTAAATCCTCGGCACATTAATGCTCGGGCCTGGTCCACTATTTATTTACGCATTTGAGTTGACCGTTATCAAACACTGCGAAATAGCTGCGTAGTGTTCGCATTCGCCTACCTGGCGGTAAGTTGTGTATTCAGTGCAAAACTTTTTTGTAATGTAACAGTGCCTTCAATGGTGCTTCTGGAGCCCACAGCAATTATAGTAGACATGTGGCCGCATGGTAATTGCATGCTATGGATACCGCACACCCAGCGGGCCCAGTAATCTTATCAGTGGCTGTCTCTGATGACGGGTTTGAGTGAGAATCCGAAACGTCAGGCGAATAAAGTTCCTGTTCCAGCAATCGCAACTTTCGCCTCAATTGCTCACTGGAACTCGCCGTCCGCACCCGTACTGATAATCAGCTTCCCCGAAAATGGCTTGGAGGAATCGGATGTTAAATCAGTCAAGCTTACTTACACAAAACGGCATTTTGAGTAAAAAATGGATGAATGGGGAGGGTTGGATGTAAACTAAAGTACATATAAAGTAGTGGTAAATGACACGCACTTTAGGATTAGCGACTCGACCCACAAACTTCTGGCCAAATCGTAAGGTGCTAAAACTTTCAAATCCGCCGCTTGTGTCCACACGAAGACGGCAAATAGGTTCAGCGGGGGGCAGGAAGCGAGGTCGAGACTGTGTCTCTCCCTCCTCTGCCTTCAGACGTTGCTTCTCCTGACTGATGGCAGCGGCCGTCGCCGCGGCTGCCTTCGAAATGGCCTGACTGATACGATCAGTACACACCTCCTCGACACGCTGGGCCAAGTTTAGAGAATTCACGTCCGCATCAGCAAGTTCCTCCTCTAGCACCAGGTCATAGAAGAAGAAGGGTCGTACGGTTTGTAGGGGCAACCGAGTCAACTAGAACAGCGGAGGAGGGGAAGAAGGATAGGACACATAAGTTAGGTAGATGCGATGCGTGGTCCAGCAGTAAGCTATTCATCCAACTCGCGTGGAATCAAGGTACATACTGATAAGACCCAGACGAAGTGAAAAAAAGCAGAAAAGGTGCGTGGGGGCCTACATTATGAATGCAAATCTCGAAAGGCAGAGGTATGCTTGGCGCATGACCGCAGATAATCATGAGTTTGTTTGACCATTCTGTTACGACGGTCTCCGTAGCCAATTTGGCAAGCCTTTAATTCACAGAATCTGTCTAAAGTAGTAGTTAGTTGTCAACCTTGCGAAACCGGTTGTTCAAAGAGGATGCACATGGGATGACGGAAATTGTCTTCTACCGATGATCGGCGAAAAACGGCAAATTTAGAGCAAGAGTCCAACAGCTATATTCGACTCCCCGCGGCAGTCCGCTCCCACACACACGCCGGAGACGGTTTTTGGCAACTATTTGCTGAGGTGCCTGTACGTTCTTTCGCATCACTAATAGTTGTCCAGTAGCCCAGTCTTCCCCGACTCGTGATTAGGAGCCTTCTGTGTTGTCAACCCATCGCATCTCGACACACCCAGCTCTTTTGACAATGTCTCACTACAGACCAAGCAGGGGACTTCGGTCGAGAGAGGGTATGACCTAATAACAACGCAGACAAACAGAAACTTGGAAAGTGCTGACACAATAAAAAAGCTGTAGCTCCGAATAAGGATGTTACAACCAGGCTTACCCCAGAAAGACAACTTTACTGACTAGCCTAAGTGCTATTTGTCCAGCTCTTTAAAAAGTGGCGCATAGTAAGACGACCCTCATCGAAGTCTAGCTGCAAAACAAACGGACTCTCCGGTGGAACGAATAAGCAGACTAGGAATAGCTATGACAGCGCTAATACGACGTAGAGGGCTGGGGTCTGGAAGGCTGACTGCCTTAGAAAACACTACAACGGCTAATAACGGCAGCGACATGGCGACCATGCATAGATATAACTGGGACTGCCTGCCATCGCCGCCTTGCGGCCAGATTTTTTAATAAAACCGCTAGAAATGGCAACTTTGAAGAACTCACCTATTGGTGGCTGTTGTGGGCCTGCCTGTACTTTAAATTACCAATTTCAAGAAAACTTATGCTTTCATATACAACATCTCTCGGAACCGACACGCCCTACAACTCTAGTCCAATTGTGTGGACGAACAGAGCGCGGGATTGGCCACTTAACAAGGGACGGAGGGTCAGAAGTGGATGGTAGAAGGCGAGGATGGCTTCAATGTTTCTGCCCAATGTTGGATGGCAGGCAGTATTCTTTATTACAGCGAGAATGTTTGCTGCCAGCCTGAAGTCGGAATGTCAGACCTAGGCTTTTGAGAAGTTCGGATTCTGGGGCCAACTCTTCTACAACAGCGGTCTGTAAATCTCTGACAACCATCCGCTCGCAATAGGCCAGCCGCGCATTGCTTGCATGAGAACAAGTCTATGAGTGGCCAGCATACATGCGACTGGCATCTCCGTTGTCGCCATCCGCGCACCAACATCAAATGCCGATGTGCGCGAAAACGAAACTTCTTATACGCAGTTACAACAACTGGTTGAATGACACTCTCGTCGTCAGCTGTTGATTACAATCATTGACCGGGGTGGCTGGAGCGGATCAGGGGATCCTTCAAGCTCAACAGGCGAAATCGCGGAGTCCGGATAGGTCAGGCATAATCCCAACCGTGGTATGCAGGAGTAAGACTACGTATAGTGTGTAAAGCTCGTAACAAGGTCACTCTTGAAACCGCATCAGCTCTTGGGGAATAGACAGGCTTGTTTGGCATGTTGTCCACAAGCACAATAAGGTCCCTATGGAGGAATCGTAGTCCACGAAACTTCCGAAAATAAAGGCGTCCCGGGGGTAGTAACATCTATACCAGGCCTGAAAAGGTACGCCCACGCGTGCCCACATCAACACTTCTGAATGAATCGTCTAGCCCGGATGCATAACTTATCAGTAGGAAGAATGACCCGGGAGTGAGTAAAAAAATTCATTTAAGCGATGATTTGTTTTTCAATAAGTTTTGCAAACAACGCACTAAGTCGGCACTGCTAAATGATAAAATCTGGCCACTTCTACTAGCTTAAGTAACAAAATATGTCTGAATAAAGACAAGATTTTAATTCGCTGCTTTTTAATTCCCTCGAAATCAACTGCGAACTTGGATTGAACCAGCATAATTCTAAGGTCTATAAGCGCAGACCGAAATTTTATGTATGAATATTTGGGCCGAGGCCCATCAGCCACAGCGGGATGACCATGTAATATTCATTAAATGCCGACAGGCAGTTAGTAGTATATTTTAGGGTTACACGATCCCATTCTATCAGCACAGGTGCTCGCTGCTGGAATGGTATCCTGTAAGCCTTAAATAAAATGTTAATGGTCTAAAGCCCCTGTGACAAGCAGCATTTACGTTTACCCAAAAAAGGAAAATCTAGCAGTCTGATAGCCCGTTCAGAAATATTGTGATTCTAGCATTTCAGACAAAGGACAACTGTCAATGTTTGGACTCAACTTTTGTGACAACTCCCACGTTGAACCTTTCGACGTCTGTGGAATACCGGCATAACGTGCGCACCCGCCAGGTTGAAAGATCAACAGTATCGACTCACGAACCAGGCTTCCTTAATCATCCAAGACAAAAGTCAACACACATTGCCGATTTGCTACGAGGGGTTTGGTTCATCAATGAGTGCCAAAGTGATAAGTCGTATTGTGAATGGTTTACGCTATATTTCCTCGGGTATTTCAGATGAATTTTCCCAGGTGTAAGAAAATTTGCAGTAAAACCAAAACCGCACAGGCAAGTTTGAGGGTACATTGACAAGCGGACCCCGAGTGGTTGCAGCATTCAGCGATATGAGTTCGGAGAAAAACATATCTGAGTTAAAGGATGACATCGGCATGCTATTGAAAAAGCAGTTCTTTCGTCCTTTAAAATAGGAAAATCGTAGAACTTTGATAATTCCAGAAAACCGGTCTTTTGAAAAATTTGTAAGTTTATGCATGAAAGTAACACAAGGATGTTACTTCAGCGATCACACCTTCTCAACTGCTTCCTGGAACTCGCCCTTTCGTTTGCGTCGGTTGATTCAAAATTACGCACTGCTGGGCTAAAGATAAAGAGTTAGCGATATCTGGTACTGAAATCAGCAAGTCTGCTCAGACGTTTATTGGAAAATTTATCCTAGGCGAGAACATGGTCGCATAACGTTCAAAAATCACACCATTACCATGCATTATTCAAGGACCTAATCGCCGCAACATGCGCCTTAACGTGGGAGTGCCCACTTATTTTTCTTTCGGTGTCTACTGGAAAATGAACAAAATTCCAACGGAAGCCTAAAAATCGTGCATGCTGATACTGAATTCATGCGAATGGCGATGCCCTAATCAGACAGCAACGCGAGCCCAAAGAATAACCAGTTCATTAGAAACTGGCGGCAAACAAGACGCGTCATACCTTTGAGGAGCAGTAAGGCTTGTTACATATATATTTAATCACCTTATTTCCTATGGACATTTATCGTATACGCGTTATTGTTATTATGGATATAAATATTGTGGAATATTTAGACGGTATACTTTTGACCAGGTGAGACAGAGTTAGAAACGCACAAATGAATCGTCTCGGCGGCAAGCAGAGTAGAACTGTGGATACTTACTTGCACCGCCGATAATGACTGCAAGACTCATCCGTCCGCACATCAATCTACTTCAGGTATACGTAGAGGTGGGTTATTATCTCAACCAAATGGGCTGGGCACGAAGGTGCTACTAACACACTCGTCATAAGGACTCACAAAAGCGCAGGAAGCATCAACGGCGGAAAGGGAAGGGAGGAACCTCATTTAATGCAGGCGCACCTGCGCTCATCATGCAACGAGTAAAGTGCCGATGTATGTGACAAGTTTGCACGACGAAAAAATCGAGAAGAATGACCAATCACAATAACCTTATAGGTATCTCACGATAACTCGTGCAATTCAGTATACGAAAGTAGTTAGTAAACCAGAGTCTGCACAATAACGACTCGCATACAGCGGAAGATTTATAACTGCGTAAATGCGAAAATATATACTAGGTAGAGGTCTGAAAAGTACATTCTGACAAGCATGACATCACAAAAGAAGCCGTTAGCAAGGCAGAAATAGAACAAAAACCTGCCTCACCTTAAATTCACGTCCATGGATCTCTAGAAGGCCGACAGCTTTTGGCAGAGCCTCGCCTTCAATGAGTGAAGTCGCTACTGAGCTTCCTGGCTGGGTCACATAAAAGTTTTTGGACGAGTTCCACTCCGGTTCAATGCGACAATCATGCTCGTGGCCCCAAACCACCAGATCGAGGAAACTTGGAAGGAAGTTCTCAGGAAGGTAGCCCGTGGGGCCGTGTCTGACTCGATTTTGATGAACAACTGCTAGGGAGAACCAATCCTCAGCATCATCTTCTGGTCTCCAGAAAGTAACATTGTCGTTTAAAAACAACCTATGAAGTCTCTCTTCCCTGACAGCACCAATGCCGTAGATGGCTAACTTGGTCGAACCTTTACGAAGGAGAAGAGGTGAAACTTCCAGAGTTTCTATCGAGCTTGACTTTCCAAATAGATTCAGAAAACCACAACTGTGAAGGAGATCTGGAGCACAAACATTTCCGGGTCCTGCAGGGTCGTCATGGTTTCCATGTATGGAAAATATGGGAACACCAACATTGAGATTAGGATCAGTGTAGTTCGCGGAAGGAAAGGAAACGTTAGCGAAGTTCTTCGCCGTGTCGCTGACAATTTCAAATCGAACAGCCCGGTCACCGAGGCAATATTTACGTATTAGACGGAGCACCTCGTTCATACAGTGAATAGACGGTCGGTTCTCGTGGAAAAGGTCGCCACCAGCGAGAATGAAGTCAACGTCATGTTGCTGGGCCAGGTAAAGAATTTCCTCAAAGGTAGTAAACGAATCTCGGCCACGAATCCCATCCTTTTCTAAATAGCCGACATGATTGTCACTCGTCACCAATATCCGAAGGATATTTGCATTGTTCTCCATATACAAATTTCTAGTAACCGAAACGAACGGAAAGAGCAGACTTGCATGACCCCTGAAGGTATAACTGATAGCAAAACGAAAATGGGTTCCGAAAAAACGGAACTTAAAAGGGTGCAGACAGTGTTAGATGGCCCATTTCTGTATATATGTTGGTAGAAAAACGGTGTAATTTAACAAATAGTTGCTCGTAACAATTGACGAATAAAGCATTCTTCGTAGACTAATGGGAGAATCACTGGTAAGGACAGAAAACATCTGTCAGTGTCGATGTTCAGCTGAACTAGCGCCATCTTGCTTATATGCCAAAATGGCTTTTTGAGTACAAATACAAAAAACGGTCTTTCGGTTGCTTCGCCAGACGCCACCGTAGTCTGACGACGATAACTGATAATGGGAACTTAAGATGGCTAGGCCGCATGTTGACTACCAAAAGAGAAATCATTGTAATTACGCAAATTATTAAGTGCTTTCTCAAACTGAATAAAAACGGGAAAGTTGGATCTTTTGCTGCACCACAGCATTCGATTGCGTTCAACGTGAGTGCCTTTGGCGGATAATGCACTGGAAAGTGCCGGCAAAAAATACCGTCACGACCAGGGCCAACTATCGCCCCACCACTGCGCGAGTTCTCTTGCATAACTATTACTCCAAGCCGTTTGATATTCAATCTGGCGTTCAACAAGGTTGTATCCTGCCACTCGTTCTGCTCGATTACACGACTGACTGAATCCACAGAGGGGTCCTAACGGTTTTGATTTGGTTATTAATTTAGAGCCCGGCATCGTCTGACTGATCTTGACTACGCTGACAATATCGCCCTGCTAGATCCGGGTTCTTATGACCTACAGACTGCACCAGCGCGAGTGAATAAAGTTGCTAGACTAATCGGTTTATCCATAAACGCAGGGAAGATTATAGCCTATTTTCAGCTGTGTCCCTGACCAGGAGGCATCACTGGGAAGAAATATGTGGGACGAGGCTGCTGTAGAATGGGCAGGGCAAGGACATCATCTCCCAAATCGATGATGCTCACCGAGTTTTTAGAATCTTCGGAAAGTATCCGTATACGATTACAGCAGTACATGTCGGACAAAATCAGACAGAATCATATGAGACCAATAAAAAGTACACTGAAGCAGGCAGAAGGCCACAGAGCAGGTAAGACTACAAAGGAAGGAACGAGAAATGAAATGAATGGGACGTAGGTAAAACAAATGCAAAGGCGTCAAACAATTAAAAGAGCGTACAACAAGCGCAAATGATTATTTGACTGCATATAAAGAGGGGCAATAAGTGAAAAAAGGAACAATCCAGAGTCCTCGATTTTTTGATAGGTGAGACAAACGTGAACAATAGGCACCCACCGTACGGAGTACATACTCATAACGGATGGAAAAAAGTCACAACACTCTGAACGGTGACTCGACCGAGGCTGGGTGGTCGCTTCTTTAAGAGCAAGAAACGCGGAGGCCTATGACGGAGTTCCCGGGTTCACGAGCCTACGTAACTTAGGCCCGCCTAGCACGTCTTCAACAGGTTGTGGATGTGGTTTAACTGGAAGAGATGTGAAATAACACTGTCGACCCGATGAGTTATCTTTTATGTATTTATGAGAGCGGTACGGAGATGTCCGTGCCAGATGGTAGAGAAACTGAATCCTTGAACGTGTTGCACTGACGTCAGGTGACGCAGTAATTTGACCAAAATGCGTTGCTTGCCAATGACATTGTTCAAGAACTTTTATGCCACGGACGAGGTACGGGGACGACGGCGGTGAACAGCATTTGACACGATTCCGAAGCACAAAAAGTAATGTAAAGAGTAAGGAAGTTTGATCTGCAGATCTGCTCGCAATCTGGGACCGCCCCCGAAAGAGGATAAGCCCCACATGTACCTACAAAGCTTTGCAGCAATCCCCAGACTGCCTCGAAGGCATTAAGTTTAGGAACATGGAAAGTTCCTGGCCGGAAGCAGACAGTTGAAGGAACTAGCTCAATGCAGAGGTCGTCAGCAAGTAAAAAGTAGGATTTTGTGCACTCGGCAAAATCTCATCAGTAAATCCAACGAATAACATTAACTAAGCCAGAATGAGTGGTCATAAGTCATCAGGCCTGGGATATGAATGTCAGGAGCAAAAAAGATGCAGCTACTATCGACCAGTTCTATCATGTCGTTGTGTACGGCAGAAATGGTAGGGCCTTGGAAGAGAGCTCTCAGGAACACCACTGCAAACTGACACTCCAGGAGACGTAGTGTCTGGAATAAACTCTAAGTCACTTGGGGGTCTCACTGGGATCGCGGAAGGCGGATCCTGTGGCATTTTCATTACTAAGAATCCTGCTAATGATTCTCCTTGTAGTCAGGACATTAGTACTATGTGGTCTGCCTTTGAAGAATCCATGTCAACTACTATTTATGTTATGAGACGCGAAAAAGCTGATCACGGAGGACGCTCTCCATGAGTTTGTGTTGGAGATTTTCGAACCTAACCGGTCGGCAATTACCCATAAACCAATTTACACCCAATTTTGTGATGAAGAATGACCGTCCAGCGCTGTCCCGCGTAACTTATCAGCATTTCAAATGCACAAGGTAAGTTCCGTTTGCATCAGCTTGACGATGGCTAAAGAGGGTTTAAAACCGGCGCCTGACGGACTGACAGAACACCAGCGTAATGCCGGCTCTTTTGGCAGTCATGGGCTAATTACTCACTACAAAATAAGAACACTAGCATTCGGACGATTTACATGAGTAATCCGTACATAAGTCTACATGGCTTAATAGTCCGCCGACCACCCCATGCCTTCACAACCCAAACAACACTGCCGCAGTGGACCGTGGCCCATGCGCCTACAAGCCCCACATGGGACGCGCGCGACTCTCCTCTTAATTTATATAATAAATTTCTGTAAGATGATGATTGTTTTTCAGGAATGGCCAATCACAACTATGCGAAGTGGTGAGTTAAAACACAGTCCCCTGTTTGTTATTATTTGTTTTTCTTTTTGAAATAGTAAATATAACAAAGTGGATTAACTTGCATCAGTTGGAATATTGATGACTTAATTATGCCCCGGTTTCTATCCAAATCGTCTCCCAAGCAATCACAACGGTGGAATTCATTCTTCTGACTTCCCCGACTGGCTACGCCCTGCCAATACGACCGACTACTAACCGTGAGAAGAACCCGGACGCCTCAGCTCCGACCTCCGTCTCTTCCCGCATTTGTTTTGCGAGGACGACACTCTCGTTCCGCAGCCATTGTACAGCAAAATACTGGCAGGATTTCTATGCTTCAACTTTTCCTTCTGGGCTAGCCCTTCTGCCGGACAGGTTCGTTACACTATCGTTTTTTATAGTCCGGTATATATGAGGAATAAAGGCAGCGTCTTGGAAATCTCTATTTACAGATAGACGTATGAAAAAAACATGCAGATATTTACATAGCAGTTATGCCAGTCACTGATATCGTGTAAATGCTTGACTATCAAGCGTAAATCTTTCCTCTGTCCTATTTTCGCGTTGCTTTTATACAACAACTATTTATTTGGTTATTTAATTACCGGCATTCTGGTAACTGAAGTAGAGTGGTGAGGTTAGGTTTAATCAGTAGTGACAATTTTAAAGTGGGCGCGTGTTGTGTGATGAACTGTTTCCTACGCGCCGCTGGAACTTTAGGGACGTGCATGCACTCTTTACTACTATTTTTAGGGCTGACGTACGCAGGATCAACTTCAGCTTTGCATCTTGGTGAAGTAAGCCGTTGTGTTTTGACTGTTATTATTTAAGTTTCTTATGAAATTCCTCGGCATAAAAACATGTTATAAATACAAGATAAATGGAACGACGACGAATCAAATTTGCTCTATTTTCTCTTCAGAATGCCTACCAACAAATCGCAACGCCGACTTTGTATCTTTGGACTAAGTTGACGCTCAACATTTCATAAATATGCCAGAAAGTTAACCAAGGGAGAAAGATAGGTCGTTCCATCCCCGGCTTCCTCTTTTTTACCTACTTTGTCGTCGAGCAAGAACTCCTGCGCCTCTTCCTGTGTACATTACCTGATTAATAATGTCTGAAGGTAGGTTCAGGTGTCCTCCGATCGGTGTCCAAGGCCCAGGCTTAGTGGCCTTAGCATGCGCTTAGTGGCTTCGGAGACGTTTCTCACGTACGGCAGAACGCGGAAAATTTCAAGTCTTTGCGTGTCCCCACGTTCGGCCCTCGTGTGTCTTTTGTATAAGCATTTGTTAACAAAACTGCTGGGATATTCATTGGCAAGTAAGAGATGCCATAGGGTATCACGCTCCCGCAGATTCTCGGCTTCTGTGCTGCAGAGTGTGCTGATGTGGCGAAAAAGTGTCCGGACGCAGCTGTGTTTATGCGACACGGGATGGATGCTGTTGTAGTGGAAAATTTTCTCCGTGTTTGTCGCTTTTCGAAAGACATCACTCTGGAGAGTTCCGTCTTCTTGCTTCGTCACCTGAACGCCGGGGAAAATAAGCACTCCGTCTTTTACCTCCTCAATAGTAAGTTTAAATTGTGGGAAAACTGAGTTCAATTTTGTCCACAACCTGTCATCCAAACAGTTGAGAGACGACCAAATTAAAGTGCTTAAACAAGAATCCGGCTACAACACTCACACACAAATCGAATTCCTTCATAGATGCCTCGACAGCCGAGTGCTACCGAAGAGCTTGTACTACAAGCCGCCGGTAAACACAAGACTTGCGAGACAATGGGTTATGCAACACGGTAGGCGAATGACTAGAGTACTCCCCCGGGACTGTCATTTTCGACTGCACAAATACCGAAGAATTTTGAGCCAGTCATCTTTAAAGTGCTCGGAGCTCGTTGGCGAGAAGGAAACAACACTCCTCAGTCAAGTGATTGGTCAACGAGCCAGAAAACTAAGATCCAGACCTGATATGGAGTTGATGGACAAATTCCAGAAATTAATCTCAGTTACACAAGATGACAACGGTGTACTGGTCCACAATCTATCATTCAAAGGATTTAGGCCAGGGCAGATTCAGGTGCTGAAGCCTGCTGCCGGATTCAACATCTCGGACGCCGACCCGGTGAACCTCGTGGCCACGATCGAGTCGGTTCTAAAACACTTCCAAGAGCTAGCTGAGACACAGCACCTCATTCGGCAACAAGTCACCTCCCTCTTTATGACGCACAAACCGCGATTGGTCATCCCGAGAGCGCAGCAGGGTGCCCTCAAGGCGCTGAAGGCGGGAAAGAGTATCGTGATCCTACCGGCAGGCAAAGGACGATCAACAGTTATACTTGACAAGGCCGAGTACCTCCAGAAAGCCAATGTCTTGCTTGAGGACAGGCAAACGTACGTCAAGTGTGACGGAGACCCCATGAAGAAGCTGGTGACGCAAATAAACACGACGCTCATCATGCTACAAATAATGGCGTGAAGACTAGGGCAGAACGACTGGACACTAAACCGGCCGACGCTGCCATGGCAAGGTTCTGTGGGCTGCCCAAAATGCACAAAGATTGTGCCCCACTCCGTCCCATCGTGTTTTTGCGCGGGACACCCAAATTCAAAGGGGTCAAATGGATGTTCCGACGCCTGAACTGCCTCACCTCGGGCTCCGACACGATGTTCCGCTCATCTGTCTATTTCCTGGAGGGAGTGAATGGACTGCAAATTAATACAGACGAGGTCATGATGTCGCTCGATGTGACCACGCCTTTCACCTCGATCCCAAACAATTTGGCAGTTGAATCTGTCAGCGACCTCCACGACAGCCAATACACGGAGGCAAACAATACCCCTAGGCGGGGGTAACTAGTGCAACTGCTTAAATATTGCCTCCAAACTTTCTTCACCTTTGAAGGGACTGTGTACGAGTAAATCAAAGGTACGCCGATGGGCTCACCACTACCCGGTTTCATCGCTGGAGCTGTTCTTCAAAGGTTGGAGACGTTGGTATTCACAACATACAAACCAAAATTTTGGGCGCGGTATGTGGACGACACTTTCGTCGTTCTCAGACGGGAAATGGTCTCGAAGTTCCACGCGCTAAGGAACTCTTTTCTACTCGAAATTCAGTTCACCATGGAGACAGTGAACAAAAATCAGATCGCGATTCTAGACGTTCTGGTCCATCGCAGGGTCAACGGGAGCCTAAAAACGACGGTCTACAGGAAGGCCACTAATACTTGTCAAGTTCTGCCCTACCACAGCAATCACCTGCTGTGTCACAAACGAAGCTGTGTTCGATCTCTCTACAAGAGAGTTGACACTCAATGCAGCGAACCGGCCGACAAGGTAGCTGAACTCCACTATCCACGGCGGATGTTCACCTCCAACGGTTATCCCCGTAGCTTTATAAAACGCAGCAGATTGTCCAGACCAACCATTAAGTCAACGGCAAGTCAGCCGAAAGTCTGGCGAGCGCTGCCATACATTGCGAACGTTTCCGAGGCAGTTGCTCGTATCTTGCAACCATCGAATATCGACATCGTCCACAAACCCCAATCGACAATCAGACGTCTGGTCATGAGACCAAAAACGCCTCTACCACTAGGCGAAACTGCCAACGTCGTCTATTGGATCCGGTGTAGTTCCTGCGAAGCAAACTACGTTGGGGAGGTCGGGAAAAGATTGCAGGCCCGCATGGACGAGCACGCAAGAGCGGTACGAAGGATGGACCAGCTTTCGCTGGTGACGGAACAGTGAGCAGCTTTTGGCCATGCCTTCGCCTTCCAAGACGCCGAAGTCTTGAGCCAAAGGAGCGACCAAACGGTCAGGGAGACGCTCGAAGCCTAGCACACCACAACTACCTCGATCAACCGCTGCGCAACTTTTCCAGCTGCCTACCAAGCCTACGGGTGAAGTTAAACAAGCAGGGCTACCGACGAGGCGTCAGGCCGGAGACGGCAGTAGTCAAACACAGACCAAGCGGGAACACGGACGGGCATAGACAGACATCGGGAACAGACGAAAACAGGTGACAAACGGCGGCGAACGCAAACCCAGGAAACCGCCTTCTAGGTCTGAAATCAGACAGACGCCAGCACTCGCTGAGGACGCCCGACAGTGACGGGACCCCCCAGCCCGACGACACCGGCATGACAACCACCGTCAACACGGTTACGGGCAGATGTGAACGGGTAAGCTAGACGAGATCCCACGACAGTGACAGGAACCCCCAGTCCGACGTCAACACTGGCATGACAACCACCGTCCACACGGTTACGGGCAGATATGAACGGGTAAGCGGGACGAGATCCCACGACAGTGACAGGAACCCCCAGTCCGACGTCAACACTGGCATGACAACCACCGTCCACACGGTTACGGGCACGTGCGAACGGGGCAGGAAGGCGAGGTACGTGGAGGGCGGACAACGGACGATGCAAACAAAAGCAATGGCCGCGGACACCCCGACGCCGCTCCGCTCCCACACCCGACAAAGGATGAGGAGGAACCGATGCAGTCATGACAACAATCACCAAGCCTTGTGATGCAGCGCGCTGAAAGTCAGTGACACGCCAGCACGAATGAAAACCCTTAAATACTGTGAGATGCAGTACGCAACCCACCTTCGATAATGGAAGCTTCTCTGCTTCCGAAACATCAGGCAAATAAACCGTGATCGCCTGTGATCGCCTAGTCTTGGCTTTGTGAAGCCAATAGATCGGTGTGCGCCCATTCCTGATCGATAAATACCCGATCTGCAGCAACAGAGAATGACAGGTGGCGAGGCGCTGATGAACTTCGGTTCGATGAAGTGCTTATGACCCATCTGGTAGGCCTCAGTGGTGGACCGACTGCGCCAGGTGCGTCTGTGCGCATGTTTGTGTTTCTAGTCTCACCTGCTGGTGGTCAGGGTTATGATTGGCTGAATGAAGGCAGAATAAGCCCGAAGCAGTGCTGTATCAATCTACCCGCATTCTCTGTCGTCCCTCCTCGCTGCTATATATATATATATATATATATATATCTATATATTGAAGGCAACCCATCGTCTGACGACGGGGTGGTGTCACCAGCTCGAATATTATTACGATTATAACTCGACTTTCCGATGAACTTCTTCTATTTTGCACCTATACTTCATGTTTGTCATTGCCCGAGGAAGGCGAAGAATAGAAGGCGATTTCATGGACCAGATTGCATTTAAACTGACGTGTCGGAAACACTCGTTTCCATCATCACAGTCGTTCGTAGGCGTTTCCTGCTGGCCTTGTTTTTTTGTTATATAATTTTCAAGGTCCTGGGTATCTCCAGAAACATATTGGATAAAAGTTTCTTCAAAACTGCGACGCACGTGTCCTGAAATCCACAGTACTGCATGCATTCTCTGTCCAAATGAGGAATTTTCGAGAATAATTAATGAAATGCCAGTATATTATTTGCAAAAAGAGTCAAATTATTTTTTTACAAGTGGGGGACAACTTTTCAGTTCCAGATGTATGTATAAGTAGGCAACAGGGCTGATAGATCAAGCCGACGGTAAGAAACACGCCGTCTGACAGCGTATTACCTCCTTGCTGATAATACACAGATCAACCTAATGTATTTCCCGGATTGAGTCGAAAACTTTTAGGAAATCGAGGATGGACGACAATATTATCATTTTGCCCGCTGACACGTGGTGATCAACTGCCGTGATAAACGGAGAAGACTCAAATGAAAGCGATATAGCTGCTCTTATTGACATATAATCATACAGACCGGCATAAAACTCACAACTCAGAGCAATAGTAGATTGGTTGAATAAACTTGTTAGAGAATAACGGCTCAAATATATGATTACTGGGAAATGAATGGCACGAAATGAAAGCGGTTGACGCCGCTCCAGCTCGATTGCGTGACTTCAGTCAGTCTGTCGGTGTTTTTGAGGGAAATAGGCTGACGCCTTTGATCTCCCTATTTGTACATAAAAAATCGATAAATAAGCAAAATGTAAAGAAATTACAGCATTAAGTGAATGCAGACATTGATCCACATATGTCATTTGCCTCATGGCTAAAAAGTCGCATAGTCCGCTTGTTGCTGCAGCATATGTATTTCAAGCCGGCATTTAAATTTCGCCACAGATTGAGACATGACAACTGTATCGGGCGAGTTATTCCACGGTTCCACGGCCCGGTTGGAAAAGTAATACTTCCTCACATTCAATCTAACCTGGGGCACGCGTAGCTTGAAGGGACGCCCCCGGAGATTAGTTGTTGTTGCAAGTTGTAAAAAGTCATCGTACCGAAGGGCGCAGTCCAAGCCACGCACCATACGGAAGTTTGTATCAAGTTTCCGCGCAACTGCCTATAACTCAGAGGATAATGATTAAGGTTAGTCAA